CTTTTAAAAATACACACACATGCACGCTAGTGCCCTAACTGTTAGTTTCTTCCCCTTTTTACTCTCCATGAACACACATGCAGACACAAACTTGGCAGGATGTGAAGGCAGAAAAAGGGGCCGAAAGACAACACTGAGATTAGGAGGCTTTTGTCACGGCTCTGTGGCAGACTTTAAAGACCTTGGCTCCCTTCCCCTCGGCCAGATTTCTTTCTTTTCTCACCCTGCCTGTCCACATCCCTCTCTTTTCACAGGGGAAGGTAAACATTCAGTACAGAGAGACAGAGAAAAGGGAGGAATAGAGGAAGGGAGGGATGGGTGGAAGAAGGATTGAAGCCGCCTGTTGCCCTCTTATTGTGTTTTTGTTTTCTTAGTTTTATTGGTGGCTTTGTGGCTGTGTGGAGGATGATTAGGGAGGGAGAGGTATGCAAACAGAACAGCGCTTCAATGCTAGCCAGGTGTCTGCGTTGTTTCCATCTGTGAGTGTGTGCATGTGTGTGTGCAATGACTGCATATATCTGTGCTTTTGTGTTTGTGCATGTGTGTGCAAACTCCTATAAGACGCTGTGTACACATGTTGCATATGAACTTTACCATTACTCTCGTCCAGGTGAGTGTGCAGATGTGTAGGTATTTTTTTCAGGTTTTTATGAGGAGATTTTGTCCATGTGTTTTTTCCCCCCAGGTGTGTGTGTGTAAGTATGTGAGAGAGAGCGATAGCCCTTCATGGTCACTGACTCCATTCACCTGAGCACTCCTTTCACACTAAAAAGGCAGCTGACGGTAAAAAGCTCTTTGGACAGCTTCTCTTCATCACCAACCACAGCTGTTGTTGACTCAAATACCCAGGAATCTCCTCCCTGGGTTAACACCCTTTTAACCATCCAACCACATACCAGAAACCTCCACCAGAATACAAAGGATCCAACAAAACCACAAGGTAAGAAGGTTCAAACATGCAGAGGTTTATGTCAAGATGTAGACATTGGCTTCAGCCATGACTGTGGCTTACTTACTCAGATATTAAAGTGTGCTCATAGTGATCATGAGGTAAGCAGTCCATTAGAAAACTGGACTTGGAAAAACCAGAATAAAGACAAACTATTTACATGGTTGTGTTACTATTCCCTTCCTTCCTCCATTCAGCGAGTAATGTTACCTGAAGAATCAAGAAAAACATTTAAATTGAACTTTTTCTCTCATTTTTTCTTTTTATGTACAGCACTTCTAATAAAATCTTCACCAGTTTAGCTCTACTAGTGAAAGCAAAAGGTCTACCATGTTCAAATGCTTTCTTTATAATATTAAACACATCATAATAGGATTTACAGCTTGTGAGCCATGTATGTAAAAAGCATTAAGACTGAACTCGTTCGTGACCTCTGAAATGGAAAAATATCCCTGTGTGAAGCCACATAGAGCAAGGTCCATAAGTTTTTGAGCAAAAACAATTTTGAGTCTTCAGATAGCCGAGACAGTCAAGATGTTACTGAACTGAGGATTTTCATCATTAATCCAAGTGCTTTAAGTGTGGCAATTGCAGTCAGTTTTACATATAATCCTCTGTTTTCAAAAGTAATTGAACAGATGACTGACTGGAATGTTACTTTGTTATTTCCAAGTGTTGAAATTGCATTTTGTAGCTGTTCACTGGAAATCTCAATATGACGTCAGGCCACCATTAGGCCGAAAAATCAAAACGGTCATATCAGTGGGAGAGAAAAACTTCTGGAGTGGCCAAATATACAATCTGGTAAATTCTTAAAAAGAACTAATTTAGTGTAGCTTAATAACACCAAAAGAATTAAAGTGTGTGATTGCAAAATGATTTCCAAGGTTAAGAAAAACACCTTCACGACATGTAAAAATCTAGAGACGGCTTCATGAATGTAAAAACAGAGGGTTACCACAAGATCCACTGGTTACACTCAAGAACAAGAAGCCCAGATTAGACTTTGCCAGAGCACATCTGAGAGGGAATGTGCAGTTCATAAAAAGAAAAGTAAAAATTCTCAAGGCAAAAAAAATGTGATCTTTGTCCATTTCCAAGGCAGTCAAGTGATCCCGACTCAATCC